ATTTATTTATTTGTTTGAAAGGCAGAGTGACAGGGAGAGGAGGGGGAGGGAAAGATGGGGACAGAGAGATAGAGAAAGATAGAGAGAGAGAAATATCTTCTCTCCAGTGGTTCACACCCCAAATGCCTGTAACAGCTGGGTCTAGACGAGTCTCCTACATGGGTAGCAGGGGCCTAAGTACTTGAGTCATCTCCCTCTGCTTTCCCAGGTGCTCTAGCAGGAAGCTGCATCAGAAGCTGAGCAGCCTGGACTTGAACTGGTACTCTGATAAGGGATGACTGTGTAGCAAGGGTCAGTTTAACCTGCTGTGCCTCAATACACGTCCAGCTCTATATAATCTTAGTATAGATCCTTTGCCTTGTGTGTTGCAAACATCTCCCCTCCGTTGCTAATCTTTTCATTCTCTTTATGTTATCTTTTGATGGAGCATAAGTTCACAATTTAATGTAATGAAATTTATCAGGGGCCGGCGCTGTGGCGTAGCAGGTAAAGCCACTGCCTGCAGTGGCGGCATCCCATATGGGCACTGGTTTGAGTATCAGCTGCTCTGGGATCCAGCTCTCTCCTATGGCCTGGGAAAGCAGTAGAAGATGGCCCAAGTGCTTGGGCCACTGTACCCACATAGAAGACTCAAAAGCAGCTCCTGGCTCCTGGCTTCGGATAGGTGCAGCTTCGGCCATTGCAGCCATCTGGGGAGTGAACCAACAGATGGAAGACCTCCCCCCTCTCTCTCCCTCTTCCTCTCCCTCTCCCTCTCCCTCTCTGTGTAACTCTGGCTTTCAAATTAATAAATAAATCTTTAAAAAAAGAAATTTATCAAAAGTCCTTCACATTAAGTGCTTTTCATATCTTAATGTCTTCCCTTACCCTGAAGTTAGATATTCTCTTTCTTCTTAAAGCCTTTTTATCTTTCACTTTTATACTTGCACTTTTTTTATCTTTCACTTTTATACTTGCAACCCAATGTTAGTGGATTTTTGTGCATGATGTGACTAAGGAATTCAGTTTAATATTTTTTCCACATGATTCCAAGAGTTCCTAGAACCTTCTATTGAAAACTATTGTTCTGTGATACCTTTGTCATAAATTAAGCCTCTGTACAAGGGTACTTCAATAGGCTCACAGAGAAATTGGATTAAAAGTATTAAGTTTTTGGTAAAAAACCAAGTTTTGGTAAAAAAAAATTTTAAATCAATGCATCTGAAGGGTCTTAAAAACATTCACGGAAAATGCATGCTTAGAAAGTCTATGGTCAGAACATAAACTAGTACAGCCATTGTGGAAGACAGTATGTAGATTCCTCAGCAATCTGAAAATAGACCTACCATATGACCCAGCCATCCAACTCCAGGGAATTTACCCAAACAAAATGAAATCAGCATATGAAAGAGTGATCTGTACCATGATGTTTATAGCAGCTCAATTCACAGTAGCTAAGATATGGAATCAACCCAGATATCCACCATCGAATAATTGGATAAAGAAAATGCAGTATATATACACTATGAAGTATTAGCCATAAAGAAGAATGAAATCTTGTCTTTTGCAACAAAATGGATGCAACTGGAAACCATTATGCTTAGTGAGATAAGCCAGTCCCCAAATGACAAATAGCATATGTTTTCTCTGATGTGTGGTAATTAATATAGAATACACAAAATGTATAGGAATGATATAGACATCTTAATGATTTGTTTATTGTTTTAACTCTTGTCTATACACCTGTGGAACAGTGGTCTACTTTTTTTTTTTTTTGACAGGCAGAGTGGACAGTGAGAGAGAGAGACAGAGAGAAAGGTCTTCCTTTGCCATTGGTTCACCCTCCAATGGCCACGGCAGCCAGCGCGCTGCAGCCAGCGCACCACGCTGATCCGATGGCAGGAGCCAGGTGCTTCTCCTGGTCTCCCATGGGATGCAGGGCCCAAGCACTTGGGTCATCCTCCACTGCACTCCCTGGCCACAGCAGAGAGCTGGCCTGGAAGAGGGGCAACCGGGACAGAATCCGGCACCCCGACCGGGACTAGAACCCGGTGTGCCGGCGCCGCAAGGCGGAGGATTAGCCTAGTGAGCCACGGCGCCGGCCAGTGGTCTACTTTTTATTTGTTGAATATTATTGTTAGTGATGCATTAAGACTGTGATTATAAAGTAAATTGAAATTATGCTTTTGTAAAAATTAAGGAAATGTAGGAAGGAAGGGGATTGAGGGAGGAAGAGAGGGAAGGAGGGAAGTAAGGTTTTTTCTTAGAAATGTACCTATGAAATACATGAAATCTGTTCTCTCTATATTAATGAAAATTTTAAAAGAGTATATTTGAATTTCAAAATTTTTGCAGCATTTTTTAAATTTAACAATTGGCCTTCATTTTATTTATTTATTTGTTTATTTATTTATTTTTGAAAGGCAAAGAGACAGAGAAAGATCTTCCACCTGCTGATTTACTTCCCAAGTGCCTACAACAGCCAGTCTTGGGCCAGGCTGAAGCCAGGAACCCAAAACTCAGTCTGATGTGGGACATGGGTATCATAAGCAATAGGCTGAACACTTGCCCCAATTCTAGTTATTTCACTTCCCTCCTTCCCTCCTTCCCTCCCTCCCTCCTTTCCTCCTTTCCTTCTTTCCTTCTTTCCTTCTTTTCTCCCTTTCTTCCCTTTCTCCCTTTCTCCCTTTCTCCCTTTCTCTCTCTCTCTCTCTCTCTCTCTCTCTCTCTCTCTCTCTCTTTCTCTCTATTATTGCCAGCAATTTCTTCTGATGGATGTAACCGTGAGAGAAAAAGGGGAGTTACAAATAATGTCAGTTTGGGATCTGGGTAACTGAAATGAAGGCATGGTCATTAAGTTCCATGGAGAAGACTGGGCAAGCAGCAGTTTTGAGGGAGAAGTCAGAAATTGGGCTCTAACTTTGTACATGTTAAGATAGAGAGCTGATATGTAAATTTCAAATGCATGGAACAGATTTGAGATAGACATATACTCATATAACTGGGATTTGTCTGCATATATACAGTGCTTAAAACTATAATGCTAGACAATATCATGACAGGGATGAATGTAAATAGAGGATAAGTTGGAGTACTCTGGTATTTAAAGATCAGGAAGATGAAGAAGAATCAGGGAGATGAAGAAGAGGAAGATTATAAATTAATTTAGTAGAAAAATGAAGGGAAAATGGCATCAGAAAAGCGATGTGAAAACATGTATCAAGAATAGAGGAGCAGTGTTTTTTTTTCCCTTCATACTATTTGTTTAACTCTTTTACTTAGTGTGGGTTAACTATACGATCATTAAGTAAACTGAAAATTTATCTTTGTAAAAATTAAGAGTGGGAATGTGAGAGGGAAGAAGGAGGAAGAAGGGTTGGAGTGTGGGTGGGGTGTTCCTAAATCTGTGTGTGTGTGTGTGTGTATGTGTGTATTACATAAAACTTATATAACTTAAATAAAATTTTAAAAAAGAATAGAGTAGCTTGTGTGGAATAATGGAGATGAAAGTTACTTCGTAGTGAGTTAAAGGGAGAATAAAAGGGAAATAAACAAAGGCAGGAAATAGGGACAATTATTTTAAGACATTTTCTGTAAAGATAATGGGAGACATAATAGCACAGTTGATAATGATGAAATTGATATAATGGAGAATGAGAAATGAATGGTGTAGGAGAGTAGAGGGGGAATTTTAGGATCTACTTTTTTTTTAATGAGGGAAGAAGGGATGGCACCAAGTGCAAAACTGTAGAGATTGGCTTTATTTAGGAACACAGTGTATTTATTGTCTTGAGTGTGAAGGCAAAGTATATAGGAACAAATGTCAGTAAATATGGTACCAGAAGGACTGTGGAGGTTGTTACACAGAATCAGCTGTGAATGGGTGTTGGAGAATGGCTGAAAAGTGTTAGAGATTTAAGGAAAAATCAGAAAATGTAAAATAGAGATCAAGAAGAGGGGGAAGTTCAGTGGACTATAATATTCTATGGTTTTTGTGTAGCAATAGGGACTCACTTCAGGTAGAAAGCAAAGTGAGAAAGTGACAAATGATTAAGGCAGCTCTACTCTTCCTCTAGGACATTTTTATCTGATTGCTGCTCATCTCTATTACCTTGTCTCCCTGAATCCTTCACTGTACTCCCTTTGTGCTTGTCATTTTTTGTTCCTCAAACATGCTAAACTTGTCCCATTCTCAGGGCTTTTGCATTTTCTGTCCCTATCTGGAAACATCTTCTCTTAGACCTTCATCAGCTGACCTCTTTATCATCCTTTAAGTCTTAACTTCACAAAGAAGATTTCTGTGATCACCACAGGTGAAGTAACACCCAAGTCTCTTTCTACCATATAAGTCTATTCTACTTCTCAATAGTACCATTGAGAGTCCCTCATTTATTTTTATACTAATTTATTATTTCTTGCTATCCCCAATAGAATGTAAGTTCTTACTGGCTGCAATCCAATGTCTACAGAAATTTCTGGCATATAGTAGGTGTTCCATAAGTATTTGTCAACTAAATGTCCATGTGTTTATCTTCCAAATTTAGCTGCACTATCTCTCCCCTGCCCAATCTGCCTCTGCTCCTTTAAAAATCAAATCCTCCCACTTTGCCCTCTGGATCCCCAGTACCTTGAAAAACAATTCTTTAATCACACATTTTCCTACCTTTCTCTCTGAGGCCTCAGCGATTTCCCTTGCAACTCATATATCAATCCTATTGACATTCTTCCTACTCTCCACTGCCTCTTCTTGATCCTGACTCTTCCACCCTCTTGAAAACCTCTTGAAAACCCCTCTCCTATCCATAGCACCAGAGTAGGTCTTTCATGCCATATTTATTTACCATACTCTAATTTTCGTTGTTGTTGTCATCACCTAACTTCCCATTTACTTCTTAGCTTCATCTAGATTTTGCTACATGGTTTCAGTGTTCACTGGAGTTTCATTGCTGCAGATTGGTACTGCCTTTCCTACCATTTTAGCACCTATTAAGTAAAAAGAAAAATAACCAATGGACTCATACCTGTTTCTTAGAGCATGGGGGGATGTACTCATTCCATAATCCCAAAGCCGCTCCACTGCAGCAATAAAATAGTGTCGTGTTCTCTTTTGAAAGCTGCGGGGACCCTGGATTTCATCCTCACCATAAATGTCAAAATCTTCCCTCTTTATTTCAGATGAGATGGTATCATCATAGTAAATTTCTTCTTGCTGTGATTGAATGGTAGTAAGGGTTATTTTCCTTTCTTGGTGTATCAAATCTGATGGGTTTTGAGAGCACAAACTTCCAGTTCCTCCTTGCTTTGCCCAGCTGGCTTCTCTTGGGAGCCTATCTTGTCCCTCATTCATTGTTTCTATTGCATAATTGTTTTCGCAAGGAGTCAGGGACAAAATGCTGTCCTTTGTCTTAAAATCTGTGTTTTTAGGTGACTTCTCTTGGGATTTACACTCTTTTTTTGGTGTCTGAGTAACATATTGGTTGTCCCAAACAAGAGGCATCATCAGCTTGGAGGGAGTCTTTTCAGGGTTTTCTGCTGCCTCTTTCAGAAAGAGTACTTTTCCAGGTCTGTTTACTTTATTCCATTTAACAGCTCCCTGTGTTTTCTGAAGGCTCTCTTCCACTAGATCTAGGTGATCAGGAGACCCATTACTAGTTACTTCAGAGAAAAGGTCTTCCTGATGAATGGGAACTTTAGGAAGCAACTCAACATTGCTAGATGCTTCAGGCAAGCCTGGTTTCAAGAGTACCACGTTATCAAATTTCTTGTACATGACTGAGTTTGTGGCACTTGTTCCCAGGGAGCCAACCTTTTCTTGATCTCTGACCACCTCTAAGGGTAAGATGGCTAATGAAAGGTTATTTTTTTTGGCGTCTTGTAATAAATGATTGTTTTTTTGGACTCCAGGACTTCTCTCCATAAATTTATAATTATAGGCTGGTGTTAGAAGATGAGGCGAGTTATTCTGGGATGGGATCTTGGTCAGATCTGTAGGTCTAATAGATGGAAATACTGATAGATTTGCAGTGGGTAACACAGAACCATTCATGTGGATGATGTTATGACTCCTCAATGGGCCATCCGATGTAGGAGATTGAGTAACAACCTTTTTCTTTTCATTGCAGTTCATCTGTGTGAGGGCACTTTGGGTCAAATATTTTGTGTTTTTGGACTGTTGGGTTGAGGTATCATCCACACTTATTCCCCTTTCAATTTCTATTTCTTCTAGTGAGTGTGTAAATTGTTTCAAAGCTTGCTTACCACGTTCATTGATAGCATTGTGCTGACTTAAATTAGGAGACATTCTTGTGGTGCTTGAATATTTATCTACCATTTGCTTTGTTTGATTTCCCAAGCCTTTCAAGTTATCTTCCTCTTCTTCCTTTCTTTTTGAAAAGTGAGTGATCTGAATATCTGCTCTATTTACTGAATCATTTAATGGCCTGGTGTCATCTAGACCTATGTTTTGACTAGTGCTCACCAAGAAAAGTTTTTTCAGAAAATTCTTGGTGCCATTCATTGTATACACCTGAGGCATAACTACATTCTCTTGGACTAATTCTTCCTTCTTTTCTACCTCTTCCTGAAAATTCTTTTCTTGATTGTGGGTATCATTTTCCCAGACATTAGTCAAGTTAGTAACAAACATACTCCCGTTGCTTGGAAGAATCATCTCTTTGAGTCCTGTGTCTTTTGTAAATGCATCCTCTCCCACTGCTACTTTATTTTTCTCAGATAAGAAATTCTCATCTTTCACAGATTTTCCTGATCCTAAGGATATTAATTTCTTTGGACCAGGCCCCTGAGCAGAGTTCAGAGAGTTCTTTCCATAGGTCCTCTTAAACCAATTTGGTGAGTCTGGCAATAACAGTATCTTGAAGAATGACATATCTGGATTTTCTGCATCTGGAGTCACAAGACCTTCTTTTTTTTGATGGACCATTTTCACATCTTCTGATGAAGTATTTTTATTTAACTCATGATTTAGCCTCAAAGCTGTAGTATTTTTACTCATAAGCATTTCATCATAAATCAAAGATGTCACTTCTTGAAACTCAGTATCATTTTCTAATATAATATTTTGCCAGACTGATGTACTATTCTCAATAAATAATGTTGGGCCATCAGTGTGGGTCTCTTTAGTAGTTGTTGAGTTATGAGATAACTTGTTTGTCTTTAACAAAGAGATAGGAACTTTGAAGGGAGCATTATCTTTGGTCAATGAAGCAGATTCATGAACTCTTTTCTCTTTAAATAACTTATCACTGTCCATTGATATATTTTTCCCCAGTGAACTTTCTTGATTGTTCATTAAATCTACCTCTAATAACATGGGATTATTATTTCTTTCATTCAAATTCAGAGGTATACCAGAATCAATAACGATGGAGAGTTTTTTATCCAATATAGCGGTGCCTAATTGACTATCAACATGAACTGGCATATTTGGGGATCCTAAGGAACCTGACTTTTCAGTTCCTGCTAAGTTGTCTGATGGAATTGTTGGTGGAGTCATTAGGTTATGTGATGAACTAGAATCTTTTAGATCAAGTTCATTAAACTCTACTGGTGTGGTTATCTCCAAATTCTCATTTAATCTTAATTTGAGTCCTGGTTCAGGTGTAAATATTATGCCCCCACTGTAATGGAGCTCTGGTGTGAGGTGTGCCACTTTATATAAGTCTTCATTATTGTCTGTTGCTCCAGGTGAATTATCATCAGAAACAGCTTCATATGTAGATTCTTGGAGATCTGATAATGCTAATCCATGTGGAGTAGGACTCTGTCCCAGGAGCATCAGCAAATCACTAGAAGAGACACTTTGTACTTTAGCCATCTGCATTCTCTCTCCAAGTGGAGAGTCAATGTTCTCCATGTCATTTTCTGGAATTGTGGTGGCTGTGAATTGCTTTTGCCGAGTTCTAGCGTGCCTTGAATTCTGAGAGAAACTTCTGGGTTCAATGCCATTGTTTTCATTCAACAAGTGTATTGGCATATCTTCATATATGTCCTCATAATAATCACCAATGTTCCTGTCACAAGTAGAAACCTTTAGTAAAGCTGTCATGCCCCTGTTCCGAAAGTCTGAGTTGTGGCATCCTATAACCCACAGACCTGAAAATGAGAAAGAAAAAAAGCTTTGATTACTCATAGCCCAGGTTCTGAGCAGGTCCTGTGTTAGAGTTTCTCCCTCATTCCAAGATAAATAAAAAACACTAACAAGTTATCAATTTAAATCCCTGACACATATAACATTTAACAATGGTGGTGAAAGTGGTTTTTGCATTGCTTGCCATTATGCTATGCCTATTTGTGACCACAAAAAAAGGACCATGATTAAAAGTGAGCAGTTATTGGGATATTGGGATATTGATGGAGAAATATAATTAACACATACAATAGTGGAAGGTCTTGAGACTTCATACACAACTCTGATGATGACATTGACTTAATTCAGGAAAGTTTTTATATAGGCTAGGTGTTATTGCTCCATGACATACTAGCACAATCTTTGCAGGCAAGACCTTAATCCCATCCAGCTTTCCCTCAAATGGAAGGCTTTCCCAAAATTATATTCCGTAGAGTCCTGTGAAATAATGAGATGTCCAAAGAAAAGATTTCTATGGTCAAATACACTTTGGAATCACTGCACATTACATTATATGTGCAGTTAAATTATCAATCAAGTGGGAAAGAAGAATAAAAGCATTTCCTAATATACAAGGACACAGGAAATCTACCTCTAATCCAGCCACTCTCAAAAAGTAATCACAGTAATTACCACCAAAATAAAGGAGTGTATCAAAAAAAGAATAATACATGGTATCCAGGAACCAGGTACCTGTCCTGAGGGAAGGTGAAGTTGATAAATGAGCCTCAGGTCTAAAAAGAGCCAGCCCAGACTAGAGCAGGAAGATGCATGACTCTAGGAGGTCCATTTCTAAGCAAAATTAATAAATTATGTGATGGAACTCTTGAAAAGTGAGGACAACTAAAGGGAATACATTACAAGAAGAACAGGGAGACAGAAATTCTGGTTAGCTAAGTTATGCAAAATTGTGATTTAATACTATTGGATTCCACAGTAAACAACATCTACAGTCATACTAATGTGATTTCACTAAAAACAGAGACATGACTATATCATACATTTGGGGATTAGGAGCCTAATTTAGTGATATTTGAAGCATATTTTGCTGGTATAAAATCAAGTTGGGTGAGGGTAGACCAGGATTGAAACAGAAATGATAATTTACATAATGTTTTTGACTCAAAAAATTCCACTGTTATAACTGAAACCATGACCAAAATATTTCCTTCAAATTTCTGAGTTAGAAAGTAACTGGGCAAGAAAGGGGGAAATGAACCTCAGTAAACAGGTCTGCAAGGACAGACAACCAACTCTGAGAGGGACCTGGTATTGAGAATGGAGATCAAAAGGGTCTTAATCTTAACATTGCTTGAATTTTTGTAATTAGATTATTTTCTTGCATTACATGTTATTAAAAATAAATTAAAACATTATAATTGATTCACAAACCTTAATCCATGTGTTTAAAGAGCAATTGGTTCTTCAACAAAAAAAAAATCCATAAAACAGATAATGAAATAAAAATTAAGACATTTCACATGTACTAAATTTGAAAAAAGCAAGGGAATATAATCACAGATACACAGAAAATGAGAAAAATTATAATTTACCTCAGCTGATAATCTCCTCTTCCAATTCCTGACACAGGAAATAAGACATCAGGCCAAGTTTTTACTTGGTCAGCACTGCATATATTTAGACTAACTTCCCGCCTCTGTGATCTAATTAAGCTTTCAGTGAGCCATTTAATTCTGTAAGCTGTTGGAACTAGTCCCTATCAAAATAACTTGGAGAGAATTCATCTGATCATAAGCCTACAAGACAATAAAAGAAAGAAAGAGGAAAGAAGCCATCATAGGAGAAGAGAGATAAAGACCCAGTAGAAGCTAGAAATGGAGCTGGGATTAGTTAATTTTAACTTTTCTTCCAGCTGTTGAGAATGGAATTCAACATCCACTAAGTGAATAGATATTTAGGCTAAAAGCAAGCCACTCATCCTTTCTGCTTTAACAAACCTTGATCAGTATAAGTTTGTACCCTGTTTGAGGGTAAGAGAAAACTACAAGATCAACCTATAAAAATACCAAGGAACAAGAAGGGAGCAAAAGTTACAACACTCAAAGGAAGTACCTATCTCTGAAAGTAATTTACTATATATTCTAGAGGAAATTAAGAGCAAAAATCTTGGAATACCAAATATAACCACAAGAAGATGCTGTTTCCCTCTCTGTCTCTCTCTCTCACTATCCACTCTGCCTGTCAAAAAAGAAAAAAAAAAAGATGCTGTTTCCCTAATTTAAGACCACAAATGATGTATACAGGTTGAAATGGCAATTTAACCAGATGAAATAGAAAGAAAAGATTATAAGGAAACTTAATACATAGGAGAAGACCAGCATTCTTGTCCCCATTTCAGTAAAACTTTATTTATCACAATAGGCTAAACAATGGCCATAGTTTGCCAACTCCTCATGCAGATAGTAACCTACTATGCCATTCATGGAGCTTCAATAGATGGGAAGTTTTTTAACACAGTGAAGAAGTCTAGTATCTCTTCATGCTCTTTTCATAAATCACCTCAAATAATCAAGACAGAACACAAACTTGATCTTCAATGAAGCTAGAAGATGTCTGTTGATATCACAAAATGAGTAAGTGCAGTTAATGTCAAACAGGTATCAAAAGAATCAAAGAGTGACTGCCTATAGCTAGCCTGTAGATTTCACCAAAGTCTGGGAGGACATACTTCTTCATATTAAGTATCAAATATTGATACAAAAAGACAGCCTTCATTGCCAACAATAGGCTCAGGGTTTATAGTCTAGCACCAGTGACTTTCTGGACCACTTTCAACACAAATCTGAAGAGGTAGAAAAATGGTACCTAAACAAATAATAAGATGCAGATGCAGTTTTTACAGTATAAGTCAGTTTTGTGAGTGGAAGAATTGAATAAACAACCCTGCAGCCTTGATCATGATGAACTGATGAGAAGTCAAGTCTACAAACTCATATACACTTGAAATTAAATTCTGATGTGTTGCTTATATATGCACATGAATATTCTGCAAAAAGCTTATTTAGCAAGAATTTGCCTTGGTGATAATAACAAAAAGGAACAAGACACTACACTATAAAAGCTGGAAAGGAGCAACAAAACAAACAGAGAAGAAACAATCTCAGAAAAAAAATGTTACCAGGGAGCATATGAAGCTTATAACAAAACACATGGCTGTAATTTTAGTCAAACTAATGAAATGGCCAAATTGGATTATAGACATAAATGTATATTTAACACTATAAAACTCTTAACGGAAAATATTGTTTCTGATGTTGACCTAGGCAAAGGTTTCCTAGCTGTGCCATCAAATGCACAAGTGACACAAGGAGAAAATAAGGTAAATTGTAAACTTCATCTATGGATTCATCAGTTGACTCAACACAGCTCAAGAGAGAATTATTTAAGAGGAAATAGGTCAATAAAAGTTAACCAAACTGAAAAAGTAGGAGGAAAAACAGCAAGAAAGGAAAAAAAGCCAGAACAGCATACCCAAGAGATGTGTGTCAATATCAAATAGTATAACATATGTATTACTGAAATCCCAGAAAAGGAAGAATAATAGATACAGTTTCAGAAGATATATCTGAAGAGCTAGCTAGATAACAAATACTTCTTCAAATTAATGATATAACAAATCATAGATTGAAAGTAGAAAACAGCAAAAAAAATAAATACATATCATATTGCAACTGCTGAAAACCAAAGAGAAAATCTTGAAGGAATCCATATTTTTAAAAGATACATTATATACAGATACACATAGATGAGAACATATGAATGGCTACTGAAGCAACCACAGCTGTTAGTAAAAGAATACTATAAGTAACTAACCTGGATTTTCCATTGACATGAAGACAGTTTCTCCTGAGAATGGGAATAGGGTAAGTGTATCTTCATAGACCATTTTGTGTTTGAATGTATATCCAGAGAAGAATATAGATAGGAAGTCAGTCTGTGCTCCAACACTTAGAATGTACCAGTATGCCACCTCATGCAAACAAACTGACAACTGTAAGCTGTCAAAGACATAGCCATTGATACCTGCAAAAGAAATGGAAAGAAAGAAGTTTAGTAGTTTCCAAGATTTAATATTTAAGCTGTGATTGCCATGATATAATTATGTTGTTATATGATATGACCATTACCTTATTCCCAAGAAGAGATAACCTTATACCTCCCCAAAAGTACATTGTTAGTACTTGATCAGCTAGCCCCCAGTCTCAAAGACAGAGTTATGGATCACCACGGAAAAGTCGGATTTGGATACTTTATGGTGTTAGGGCAGTTAGATGAGGAGCAGGGTCTCCGTATGGGCCACTTATTAGGAGGAGCTGACACAGAGGAACCAGAGAAAACCTTGACACTCATCAAAGCTGACTTGTGGAAATGTTGTCCCAGAGTCAAGGGAAGGAAAGAGGCAGGATTGGGTGATTCTCCCAGGTCCTCCCAACCACAGGGAGGGTGGGCTTTGTCACTGGCAGGTGTGATTGGAGCCCAGGCTGCCAGTCACAAAGGGCACTGCTGTGGAGTCTCTGGGATTTCATATGGCCATGTGTGAGGGTGACAACACATCCTTAGCCTAGGGTGCATGCACTGCCGTTTCTAGAGGTGAGGGCATAGTGTCTACATCTTATTTTCAAATGGAAAAGAAGTATGTATATAGAAAAAAAGAGAGAATTAAAAAGTAAATACAGGCTGGCGCCGTGGCTCAATAGGCTAATCCTCCGCCTTGCAGCACCGGCACACCGGGTTCTAGTCCCGGTTGCCCCTCTTCTAGGCCAGCTCTCTGCTGTGGCCCGGGAGTGCAGTGGAGGATGGCCCAAGTCCTTGGGCCCTGCACCCCATGGGAGACCAGGATAAGTACCTGGCTCCTGCCATCGGATCAGCGCCGGCCGCGGCGGCCATTGGAGGGTGAACAAATGGCAAAAGGAAGACCTTTCTCTCTGTCTCTCTCTCTCTCACTGTCCACCCTGCCTGTCAAAAAAAAAAAAAAAAAAAGTAAATACAGCCAAATGTTAAAAATCAATGAATCTGGGTAAAAGGGATGTGCAAGTTTTCTGAACTATTGTAACATTTCTGTAAGTTTTAAAGTATCTCAAACTAAAGAGTTAAATGAAAGCAGCATTGGTTCTAGTATATAAAGGGAATTATTCCTGACAGTGTCTTTCACTCATCTATCCATCCATCCATTCAATAACATTTGTCTGTTTTGTAACTGGCTACTGTGCAAGGTGTTCTGCAAATCCAGTAAGCAATGCTCAAATATCTTAGTGTAACTAATTAAGAATCAAAGTTTCTTTCCCTACAGGGGACTAAGAGATGCTATAAAGCTAATATAATTGAAAGTGTGGTTTTAATGTAGAAATAGATAAATATGTCAAACAGATTATGGGGTCCAGAAATCAACACAGATATAAGTAGTAATCAAACATATGACAAAAGAAATAGACCAGTAGAGGAAGAAATGAGATATTTGATAAGTGACAATGGAAAATATGATTATTCATTTAAAAAAATAAAGAGGTCTTGGGGCAGGCACTGTGATGCAGCGGGTTAACACTCTGGCCTGAAGCACTGGCATCCCATATGTGTGCTGGTTCAAGATCCGGCTGCTCCATTTCTGAACCAGCTCTCTTCTATGGCCTTTTGGGAAAGCAGTAGAAGATGGCCCAAGTCCTTGGGCCCCTGTACTCACAGGGAAGACCCAGAAGAAGCTCCTGGCTCCTGGCTTCAGATTAGTGGAGCTCTGGCCGTTGTGGCCAATTGGGGAGTGAACCATCAAATGGAAGACCTATCTTTCTCTGCCTCTCCTCTCTCTGTGTAACTCTGACTTTCAAATAAATAAATAAATCTTTAAAAGAAAGAGGTTCTATATTATTTCACATCATTAACAAAAGTAAATTCCACATGGATGAAATATCTACACACTTCTTTTGGGTACTATTTCAGTCTGCTAGGGATACCACAACAAAGTACCAATGAATGGGTGATTAAATGATAGAAATTTATTATCTTACAGTTCTGGAGACTAAATGTCCAAGATCAATGTTTCAACAGATTTATTTTCTTCTATTGCTGTTCTTGTTGTCTTTAAAATGCCTACAAGAAACACATCTCGCCAACAAAGATACCCACAAACTGAAAGTGAAAAGATGGAAAAAGATATTCCATGCTAGCAGAAACCATAAAGAGCTGGTATAGCCATCCTGATATCGGACAAAATAGATTTCAACACAAAAACTGTTAAAAAGAGCCTACAAGGGCACTATGTAATGATTAAGGGATCAATTCAACAGGAAGATGTAGCTATTATAAATGTATATGCATCTAATTACAGGGCACCTGGTTATTTAAAAGGAATGTTAATGGATGTAAAGGGAGACATAGACTCCAATACAGTAGAAATGGGAGAATTCAATACTCCAGTTTCAGCAATGCGCAGATCAACCAGACAGAAAATCACAAAGGAAACAACAGAACTTAATCGACACTATAAACCAAATGGACCTAAGAGATATCTACAGAAATTTCCATCCTACAGTTGAAAATACACATTCTTCTCACCAGTGCATGGAACTTTCTCTATGACTGACCACATACTAGCCCATAAAGCAAGTCTCAGCAAATTAAAAAAAAAATCAAAACCATACCATGCATCTTCTCTGACCACAATGGAATGAAACTGGAAATCAACAACTCAAAAATCTCTACATCATATGCAAACATGTGGAGAATGAACAACATGTTTCGAATGAACAATGTGTCATAGAAGAAATCAAAAGAGAAATAAAAAAAATTTCTAGAAAAAAATGAAGATGGTAATACAACATACCAAAATTTGTTGGATACAGCAAAAGCAGTGTTAAGAGGAAAGTTTATATCTATTGTGCCTACAGGAAGAAATTGGAAAGGCACCAAATGAATGAGCTATCAATGCATCTCAAGGACCTAGAAAATCAAGAGCAAACCAAACCCAAAACTGGTAGGACAAAAGAAATAATCAAAATTAGAGAAAAAAATCAATTAAACCAAAATGAAAAAAAAAATGATACAAAAGATCAGCAAAGTGAAGAGCTGTCTTTAAAAAAAAAAAACTAAACATAATTGACACACCATTGACCTAACTGACCAAAAAAAAGAATAGAGAGGACCAAAATCAATACAATTAGAAAAGACAAAGGAAATGTAACAACAGACACCACAGAAATAAAAAAGAATCATCAGAAATTACAACAAAGAGCTATATGCCAACACATTGGGAAACCCAGAAGAAATTAACAAATTCCTGGACACATACAACCTACATAAATTGAGCCATGAAGACACAGAAAACCTAAACAGACCAATAACCAAGACAGAAATTGAATCAGTAATAAAGACCTTCCCAACAAAGAAAAGCCCAGGACCAGATGGCTTCATTACTGAATTCTAACAGACATTTAAAGAACAACTAACTCTAATTCTTCTCAAGCTGTTCAAAACAATTGAAATCTTTCTATGAAGCCAGAGAAAGAGAACTACAGACCAATTTCCCTGATGAAGATAGACACAAAATTCCTCAATAAAATACTAGCCATCGAATCCAACAACACATTAGAAAGATCATTCACCCAGACCTAGTGGGGTTTCTCCCTGATGTGCAGGGATGGCTGCACATTCACACATCAATCAATGTGATACATCATATTAACAAGCTCAGAAAAAAAACATTTGATTATTTCAGTAGATGCAGAAGGAGCATTTGATAAAATACAACACCTTTTCATGTTGAAAACTCTAAGCAAATTGGAAATAGAAGGAACATTCCTCAACACAATCAAGGCAATTTATGACAAACCCACAGCCAGTGTCCTATTGAATGGGGGAAAAGCTGGAAATATACCCACTGAGATCCAGAATAAGACAAGGATGCTCCCTGTCACCATATTTTTTCATTTTAGTCCTGGAAGTTTTAGCCAGAGCCATTAGGCAAGAAAAAGAAATCAAAGGGTTACAAATTGGGAATGAGGAAGTCAAACTGTTCCTATTTGCAGATGACATGATTCTATATACAGGGGATCCAATGACTCCATAAAGACTATTGGAACTCATAGAAAAGTTTGGTAAAGTGGCACAATATAAAATTAATACACAAAAATCAACAGCCCTTGTATACGCAGACAATGCCATGGCTGAGACAGAACTTCCAAGATCAATCTCACTCACAATAGCTATAACAAATATCAAATACCTTGGAATAAATTTAAACAAAGATGTCAAAGATCTCTATGATGAGCACTACAAAACATTAAAAAAAAAAGAAATAGAAGAAGATAGCAAAAAATGGAAAAATCTTCCATAGTCAAGATTGGAAGAATCAATGTCATCAAAATGTCCATTCTTCCAAAAACAATTTACAGATTCAGTGCAGTACCAATCAGAATACCAAGGACATTCTTCTTAGATACAGAAAAAATGATGCTGAAATTCATATTGAAACACAGGAGACCTCAAATAGAAAAGTAATCTTATACAACAAAAACAAAGGTGGAGGCATCACAATACCAGATTTCAAGAACTACTACAGGGCAGTTATAATCAAAACAGCCTGGTACTGAAACAAAAACAGATGGATAGACCAATGGAAGAGAATAGAAACACCAGAACTTAATCCATGCATCTACAACCTACTTATCTTTGACAAAGGAGCAAAAATCAATCCCTGGAGTAAGGAGAGTCTTTTCAACAAATGGTGCTGGGAAATCTGGATTTCCACATGCAGAAGTATGAATCAAGACTGCTACCCTATACCTTACAAAAAACCTACTCAAAATGGATTAAAGACCTAAATCTACGACCTGATACCACAAATTATTAAAGAAATTTGGGGAAACTCTGCAAGACATTGGCATTGGCAATGAGTTCTTCAAAAAGATTGCAGAGGCACAGGCAATCAAGCCAAAAATGACAAATGTTATTGTATCAAATTGAGAAGCTCCTGCACTGCAAAAGAAACACTCAGCAAAGTTTGGGGTAACTAACAGAATGGGAGAAATTATTTG